GGCCACCCACGGGCTGGGCCATGCCAGACCCGACCCAAACCCCCATGCTATGCCAGGCTTTTGGGTTTTGAGGCCCATGGTTCAACACGACACAATACAAAAAAGTGGGCTGTGCTGGCACAGTCCGATACCGCCTGCATATATTAATATATTATTTTTATATATTTAATAATTATATATATATATATATATATCATATACACATGCATATAAATTTTTATTTTCAATTTTACTATATTATTTTTTTTTCCAATTTTATTGTAATTTTATTTTATTTTATTTTATTATTTCATATATAAACAATTATGTGCATTGAAATTCATATGGAATGGAATTTTAAGATTTTTTTTTCAAATTCTTGTTTATTTTATTAATTTATTTTTTGTCAAATTTTCTAAAAAACTAATTGTGTTGCCCATAACCTAGCACAACACGGGCATGCCTGGGCTTGTGCCACGGGCCATGCTGAACTTCCCTTTTGACCTAGCACATCATCGGAATACATGACGGGAATGTGCTGTGGGACATTATGGGGCGGAAATGTATTCTCCCCTTTTAAAGGATTTCAGGCAAGGCAGACACAACCCACCTAGGCCCGTATGCTGGCTCAGCACAACCTGCTATAGTGTGGGCGGGCGGGCTGCAAACCTCTATAGAAGAATCGTCCACAAGGAAAAATGGTCGGGGCAGCAAGGGATCCTCAATTCACAGCCACCCGTTCAGTATAATTTTTTCTTGCCGGCACAGCCCATATTATACATCTATAGAAGAATCGTCCACGAGGCAAAATGATAGGGGCCACAAGGGATCCTCATTCACACCACCCCTTCAGTATAAATTTATCTTGCCAGCACAGCCCACATTACACGTCTATAGAAGAATCCCCCACAAAGCAAAATGGTTGGGGCCACAAGGGATCCTCAATTCACAGTCACCCGTTCAGTATAAAATTTTCTGGTGGGAAAATTTCAATTATATATAGATTGACACACCTTCTCTTCCTAAGTATTCAAGATAATATTATTATGTAACTAGAGGTGTCAATGGAACAGTTTTGGATTGGACTCCATCCAAACCAAAATCAATTTGGATGAATTAGATCAGTCCAGATTTAATTAATGGTTCAAAATATTTATAGGATTGGATTGGACCTGATCCATCTGTAATAAATTTAGATTGGATTGGATTGAACCAATATATAGTCTATTAATAAAAGATAAGAATATAGGTATCAATGAATTAGAACCAAACCAAATTAAAATAAATTGAACAATCTAGACATTAAATTGAACCGGACTAAAATGATCTAAAATATTCATTGAATTGGACTGGACCTGGTCTGGATCGGATTAGACCAAGTCGAATCCAACTGGCACTCCCACATGTAACTCAAGGAATTGAATTATGGGCTACAGAGGTAAAGAAGAACTGAGGATGAAGACATGGCGAATCCTGTCCTTTATCCTATTGATCCGATTTAGGAAACCTTATTCTTGCATAATTGTAATCTAGTTCTTTCTGCCGAGGTCTATATAATCCATGTCGATTTCATCACTACCCAATCGTTTGTAGTATCCCCTTTGTTTTTAGTTGTTTATTATATTCTGGAACTGTCTACATTATATTATGGGTCTCTTTCCTCTCGCCAATAGAAATGACAACAAATAAATAAATACTACAACTATCCCTTTCTTTGGATCAGATATTCAGATGGTTCCTTTTTTTTTTTTAGGATTCTTTGGTATATTTTGTATATATATAATATATTTTAAGTTTTAAGGCATACAGCTTATATAGGTTTTTAGGGTGGGATAAGGTATTTACGTCTCCCCCATTGAGTAAATTTTCCAGTTAAAATAAATAAGTAATACCTCTTGCTTCCCAAAGGAAAATATAGTGAATCCATCCATGTATGCCATATTGGTCCCATGTTTTTCAAAATCCAAATTATTCACGTATTTTTCATTTAAAATTTGGGACATTTTACATCAATATATGTGCTATATGTGTATGTTAATGGGCGATTTTTTTTTTTTTTTTACCATGGCCAAGGTAGGCCTTGTTGAACATAGCTACAAACTAGCTAAGTTTTTCTTCTTTCTTTTTTCATACAATTAATAGGGCTTGTTTGTCTATGAGTGTTGAAGGGTGTTTTTGTCAATGTCCAGATCAGCTGGCCACGAGTTCAATAATGGCAAATTAGATATGCTTGGTAGAGTTTAGGGGATAGGTTTATACATTGTTAAAAAAGAATAGATGTAGACTTGGAGGTTGGAAAGCATTCTTGTGAGAGAGGAGATAGATGGCACAACAGGGAACATAGGACATGGTAACGGATTTGGATTAGCTGAATGCTTTGGCCGTGTAGTAGGCCGTAGTACCAATAATAATGCCCCACCCAGTGGAAAAAGAGTAAGGTTTAGCTGAATGTTTTGGCTGTTTAGTGGGCTGTGGAACCCATGATAAGGTTTTACGCAGTAATAAAATACATGGGGCCCATGAATTTATTACTAACGTGGAACCTCATCATTGGTTCCACAGCCTGCTGAACAACCATAGTGTTCAGCTAATCCGAAATACATGAGACCTACACTGAGGTTGAATGGTAGTTATGGCCCCATGTATTTTATGACTGGTGTTGAGTATTATTATTGGTTCCACATGCTGCTGAACAGTTATTGAGTTCAGCTAATCATATCTCTATGGTAACACCTCTATCCCCTCGCTCCTGCATAAAAAAAAAAAAAAAAAAAAAAACCCTTCTCTTAATACCTATGAAGAAACAAAAGGCCATTATTACTTGGTGTAAATAATGGAAAATGGTTCGATTGTAATATTGAAAATACATGATGTCCGAAAAACTTATAATCAATCAACCAGTATCATAAATATTTTAACCAATCAAGTGATATTTATCAAAATTCATGTTTTAATTGATCAAAACTCTTGTCATATCATGTCTTTTTGATATCATAGATTTTATGAATGGAAAAATCTTGGGTTTTAAGTGTGAGAATGCCGGTACCATAAGAACATATCCAATCTCTAGACCCCAGATGTATAGTTGCTGGGGCCAATTCCTACGCTACTTTCCTTCTTCCATAACCTCATCAATTTGGGCAGATTATTAATGGTGAATGAATAACCACATCAACCCATTCTAATTAGTTATATACATAAGGGAATTCTTTCTTACAATTTTGGATGCACTATACATGTAAAATCCGTTGGCCAATGTCAAAAAAAACAAAGCAGAGATAAGAGTACTGCTTTTCAGTTTTCACACGTACATGTGAGATTGTTTAAATTTGAGGCTTTTGAGTGAGGTGGGCTAGCTTTCTTTTCTTTTCTTTTTTTTTTCAAAATTTCTTTTTGATCTGTTAAAAGTGACTTAACGAGGGGGAAGAAATGGACAAGGCTGCAACCACTGGCAGCCCCACAGCCGCTGTTGCCTCTCTCTTTTCCTACCCCTTTTCCACTATCTGTCAATGGCTGTCCTGATTTGCTTGCAATCTAATATCCGTCCAACGACAGCCATGCAGCCACTCGTACATGAATCCATCCACGTATGGCCCCATACGTTACATCCCTGAAAGCATTTATTCATGTCCACATGTAAAACTTGGCCACGAGAATAATGAAATGCTAGTTCAACCTTCCTCTCTTCAACTTAATCGCTTAGGCTCAGTTTAGAAAGAATACAAATACAAATTTGTATTGTATAAGTACATAAAAAATAGTATAAAATATAAGATATTTTACTCTACATATTTGTATTTATATTCCTTCCAAATTCAGCCTTAAATACCATTCTACTCTTTTCATTTGGGTCTGGTGGGGTTTGAGAGAGAGGGTCTAATCCATAAGATAAAATCAATTATTAATTAATTAGAATAATTGGGTCTAATCAATAAGTGGTGGAGTCAGTTTTTTTTTTTTCTTAAGAAGGGTCAAAAGTTAATAAATATGGACGAGGACCAAAATAAAAGTATGATATAAATGAGGATTGTGGGGATCCATGGCTCCCCTCCACCACCCTAATTTTATTATTTTCGGACTCGATTATATTTGACATCTATAATTATCAATTGGGAGTTGTTATTTTACACCAACCTCACAGCCCTATCTATCTCACCGTGTATTTAGGAAAATCTTCTTATATATAAATAACAACATAAAGCATGAAAGATGTTTCTGACGGGCAGTTGGGAGGCATTGTAAGGTTGGTGTGAAGAGCACTCTATGAGGAATAGATTTGGACTCTATAATTATTTATCATAATCAGTGTTTTCAAAACCAAACAGGATTAGAAGGCTGGATCAAAAAAATCAAGAACCGGATTATTTCACCTTAAATCTGCTTTTTGTCCGAAAATTATTGATTTGGTCAATGAATTGTTGATTTGAGTGGTCAAACCGTCAATTCAAACAATGGTTTTTGACCATTTTTTTCTTTTTAATTCTTTTCAGAACAGGACATCCGTTTGATCTGAATAATCGGACCGTTTGACATGAGAACCAGATCCAAAACAGTTCCTTGTCTGCTCTGATTTTAAAAACCTTAATTATAATAATCAAGGTTTATATGTTGATAAAACAAGTGTTTTTATATCAAATATAATAACTTAGGACTTTGTTGTTATAATATAACCTCAATGAAAATAACAATAAAATAGTGAAGAGTTTATATGTTGATAAAACAAGTGTTTTTATATCAAATATACTATTTATAAAATTTACCCTTTTAAATTTAAAAGAAAATAAGGAGAGTTTAGTGTTAATCAGTTCAAAACATGAAGCAGCAGCGGTCCCAACAACCCAATGACATCTACATGTGAAGTTATAAATATAATTGTTTTGATGATTTATTTTAATTAATTAATTAATTAGTTAATATCTTATGTGTTCCTTGTTCCATAGTTGCATAGAAGAGGTGCATGCATGCATTTATGTATTTATGTTTATGGTCCATCACATACCCATATCGCCCCTCATCAAACACCTACCCATACTTCCACCTAATCTGCTTTTGTTTTGTTGTCATTCTGGTTCTGGATCTCGCCAGTCTACCAGTTCAGGATCAGATCTCTCTCTCTCTCATAGTCTATATATATATAGACTTGTTTTTCCTGGTAAACTCTCTCTTCTCCATGTTTATTTATTCTATCAAATCCAAGTAATATATCCATCTCAAGACAAATTTATTTTTTCCATTCCTGATCGAGTCCCCCTCTTTGATGAAGATCACAAGCAGAAAACTGCTCTTTGTCTCTCAACTCCATGCATGAAACCAATGAATTGGGTCTCTTTGCTTCTCCAAGGGGAAATTGAACAGATCAGCAAACAACCACCCACCACCCATCTCTTGGCCTTTGTTTCCCTGTCATCACTTGGTCCTCCTCCCTCTCCCGATAGCGGTGGCAGACATGATGTCTTCAGATAATATTCCGGCAAAGCAAGCGACAGACGACGAGAGCCAGAACGGAGGGCGCAAGACCGCATCATTAAGGCCACCCGAGCAGCCGTTGAAATGCCCACGATGCGATTCGTCTAATACCAAATTTTGCTACTACAACAATTACAGTCTCACACAGCCAAGGCACTTCTGTAAGACATGTAGAAGGTACTGGACCAAAGGAGGCGCCTTGCGCAACGTTCCGATAGGGGGTGGTTGCCGGAAAAATAAGAGGGGGAAATCGAGTTCAAGACTCTCTGGCGACCCGAAGGACTCCGGTGCACCGTCGTCCGATATAGGTGGGCTGAAGTTCTTTCATGGGCTCTCTCCATCCACGGAGTTTCAGCTCTGTGGTGGTCTCCCTTTCTCTAGACTCCATTCTTCAACAGCAGGTAGTGTTTTTAATAATCAGTTTCTATCATATGGAGATCATATGCCATCTACCATTGCTGCAACTGCAACGGCTACCAATTCTTCTTGTTTCGATATCGACGGGGCGGCTGCAACCTCAGGGCCTTTAATGGGGTTTAATTACCATATTCCTTCACTCGGTAGACAAGGAGAGAGTGGAAGTTTTAAGCTCAGTGGGGGCATTCAGGAGATGGGTTCCATGAATGTTCACAGTAGCCTGGCATCTTCGATCGAGTCTTTGAGTTATATCAATCAAGATTTGCACTGGAGGTTGCAGCAGCAGAGGTTAGCCATGCTTTTTGGTGGAGAGAATCAGAAAGACAGTGATGTTGTTTCTTCTCCTCCTGCAACTCTACTCGAAAATCAGGTACAGAAACCACAACCCATTTCGTTTCAGAACCTGGGTATCTCCAAATCGGAGGTTTCGGGCGTTACCACTCCAACAAAGAACGATGTCAGTGGCACTGGTATCACAGCAACCGAATGGTTCTTTGACAACTCTTACACCCCAACCACCACCGCCAACAGTAACAATAATACTGGCAACTGGAATGGAATTCATGCGTGGACAGATTTGCATCAATACAGTGCTTTGCCTTAGCTAGTAAAGGAGACAAGAGTCGATATGTTCAGATCGAAAACAAAACAAAAAGAGATCACACAACCAGAAAATAGATAGAATTAGAAAACCCCATCTTTGTTAATATTCTTTTCTTCTTTCTCTTCTCTTCTTTGTTCTTATTTTTGTCTTCTGTTCTGGGAGTTTTTTCCTTATGATCTGGTGCTTCGATCTTTGTTCTTCATTTAGTCCTCTTTTGCTCGGAGCTTATTGCCTTATTCCGCTGCAGCTCATCAAGATCTGGGGAAGCAAAAATTAGTGGTTCATAGTAATAGTATTATTATTTTATGATATTTTGGAGGAAAGAGTACTGATTGTAGTTACTTGTTCATCATCTTCTTATTTCTTCTAATTCGTTTCTTTCTTTGATTTCTGTTCCTATAAAGGCACAGGATCAGCGTTGTTTATGAATTTATGGCGGCAAATTAGCAATAAAAACTGATATTTTATTCATCATTAAACAAAAACTAAAGTATACGCTTCTGAGACGATTTCTCTATAATCTATAACATTTCTCTATGTCCCTAACTATTATGTATATACAAGTGTGATGTCGATTTGTGTGGTTTGATATATATGATGGTGAAGGTGGTTTTCATGATATATATATATATATCATTCTTTTACCTCCAACTCCTAGTTCTTTGTGGTTATGGGTTTGATTTTCTCTCTTGTTCTCAGTCTCTTCTCCGGGATCTGTGATGGATTAAGACTGTTATTTAATAGACGTAATGCCAAATGTTTGATTCCTTTCATGTTCAATAATCAATCTTCTGGCGCTCGGCCTGTTGTGATGGACTGCTGCTATACCGAGTAAAACACAACAGCTAGGTTTCCCTAGCTCTGGCAAGAAAAACCTCTCTCTCTCTTCTGCCTAAGGGCTTTCGTAATTATTGGTTGCATATCGGAGTGGATTTGGTAGCGTCTGAAAAAACTAAAACGTCATAGTTTGAAAAGTGCATTAGTGAATGGGGTATCTTAGGGTTCTTTAATTTACTTGTAGGGCCTTACTTGCTGTCACAGAGAGAGATATCTAGAGAGAGAGAGAGGAAGAGAGAGACGTTTTTTCTTTCAGCTTTGTCATTCTTTGCTTTCTCCATTTCTAGAAATAGGTGTAATTCTACTGAAGATGAGAAGAAGATTGATATATATCCATCTCCTGGTATTCGGAAGAAACTGTGGTTGGCATTGTTCTTGTACTCTTTGCTGTGTTGATGATGAAGAGATATGATGCAACTCTGAAGTTTCCACAGGAATTCTGTATTGAGGATGATACGACTTCCCCAGGATTTCTAAGTCCCATCTCAATGATGTTTCGTGGGAACTGGGTCAAGTAATGATCTTTTCTAAATCCATTTCAAATTATAACCATATACCCTATGGATTTCACGTTTTAATACCAAAAATGGATCTCATTGATCTCTTGTATCCAGCAGGAATTCTTCTTTGAGTAATGGGCCCCATTTACTCTTTATTTCAGCAGCATAAAAGAAGAAAAGATCTGGGTTGGTCATATTCCTTCTTTTCTGCTTTTCTTCCTCTTGTTATTGTCTTTTATAAGTTTGGCTGCAAATACTGTTCTTATTTAATACTGATTTACTATCATGACAGGATTTCTCCTATTACACACAGAATTCCACTGTCTACTCTCTTCCTCTCTCTCCCCTACTGGTCAGTCCGTCTCAGTCCCACTTCAGCTTACACTGTTTCATTACAACTATTTCCAGTACAAATTTCACAGCCAGTACAAAGACCCACCTTATCGGGACGCCTCTACTACCTACATCACTGTTCAAGCCTTATAATTCTTACAGAGTGCAAATTATTTTTTGAACAAAAAAACAGAACCCAACAGAGTGGAATTACGGCTTCACCCTGCTCTTTGTTTCTTTCTTTCTACCATTCTCTCCACTGCAATATTCCATTGCTTCCGTAGACTCAGAGAGAGAGAGAGAGAGAGAGGTTGATAAAGCTAAACCACGCCACCTTCTTCTGTACATTTCTTTTCCCGACAGTCTTTGCTTTAGTCCTTAGCTCCTTATATTGCTTTTTTAACTAAGCAAGAACTAAGAAGGTTTCGAAAAATAATAAAACTCAACTTTTTTCGTGTTTTGTACTGATTTCCAGAGGTGGGTTTTGAATTATTCTGTTGAAAACAAAAATAAAAGAAAGAAAAAGGAAGATAGTGAAATCTAGCTGGCCGAAGAACATGAGCTCATGATTTACGTGAGATGGAGAAAAACTTTAGTTGGGGCAGTGTCAATGAGCCACTGCGAGATGCTCATGACAAAGCGGTTTTGGCTTTGACAGTTGTGTGTGAGCCACTGAGGCCCTGAGCCTTCAATTTCTTCCATACTCGTGAGATAGGCCTCCTCTTCATCATTACTGTTAGCCAATGGGCCCGAAAAGCTGCTTTGCAAATGATGCTAATATCAGATGGTTAAAATTCATCTAATTCTGGGTGGGACCCATATGGGACAGCTGGCAAGTTTTTGAGATGGCCCTGGTGGGCGGTGGCCCCTGGTCAGATGTTTGGTCCTTGCCTTGGTCCCCTTTGTCATTCATTTGGCCGTTTGAGCATTTAATTTGCGGATGCTGTTCGAAATTCGAATTCAAATCCTCCCAATCCTGTGGGGGCCAGATGATGGCCCAAGATGGGGGGGGGCCCAGAAGGTTCTTTGAAACGGATGGTCACGATTCGTCAGCCCATTCCTCCACCTGGCAAACCTCATGGAATTGAAACACTGGATCAGTGGCTACTTGTCTAATGTGTGAAGAGATTAGACCGTTATAAGTGAGGAAAATAATGAAAACGAGAGTAATGGTTGGAAGAAAAGAAACTCCACCAAAACGAGAAAAACGAGTCTCTTTTCGTCACCCATTTTAGCTCATTCCCCAGAATAAAACAGGAAGCAACGCAGCCCCCCGACCACTCTCTCACCATTATTCAAATAGGAATCAAACCTTCCCCCAAAATAAGTTTCCTTGGCCTATCATTGATTAAGCCTCGACCCGACCCATTAACCCATTATAAAATGTCATTCTCTTTTTTTTATTATTTTTGTCTTTTTCCCTGGGCGTTACATTCTCTTCCGATCATTATTTCATTAATCCATTTTATTTAAATCATATCCATTATTAAATCATTTTTACTACTAATCATGTTCTTTTTAGTCTACCACTAGTTTAGCCTTTTCAACTGGTACTTTTAATTGGTGTTGTTGATGGTCTTTTATGCCAATTCGGATTAGTTGAACACTTTAGTTGTTCAGCGAGCTGTAGAACCAATGAGGTTTCATGTCAATAATAAATCCATAAGCCCCACTGTAAAAGACATGGGCCCATGTATTTAAAAACTGACGTGGAACCTTATCACTGGTTCCGCATGCACAGCTAAAGCATTCAGCTAAATTTTGTTCCTTTTATGTATGTGGTTAAACCATCTTAGTTTACATATTATCACCTATTAGGGATATTTTTAGGTTCCTATGCATGATTTTATTCCTGATCTTATCCTTTTTAGTTTTTTTGTTCATCCATCTCAACATTTGTATTTCTGCCACACTCATTTTTATGGACATGTTTTTTAACTACCCAACACTCTACTCCATACAACATAGCTAATCTTATAAGTGTTTTAGAGAACGTTCCTTTTAGTCCAAATGGTATTTGTTTATCACATAAAAGTTCAAATGCATCCTTCCATTTTGCCCATCCTACTCTAATACTTTAAGTGATATCTTCCTCAATCTCTCCTTTATTATGAATTATTAAACAAAGATACCGAAAAATGATCACATTGAATTATCTCTTGACCGCCAATGCTAAGTGTATCCTGCTTTACCTCTTAGTCGTATTCTTTTCCAATGCATACAATTAGCAAATAGAAGATCTAGATATTGATAGAAATTCAAGGAAACACATTTCAGCAGATAGAATGCATGCCCCATTGTGATATGTGATATTTAAAGAAAAAAAGGTGAATACAAAATACAAAAATCAAGACTTTAATTCCATTTTGCCAGTTAAGGAACCAACTAAATACATAATACCATGGAACACCCAGAAGAAGATAAATGCCTACTTAGTTTTGTTTACACCTCGAAGATGCAGAATAACAACATGTCAACATCTCTCACTCAAAAGATTCAAGTTAGGGACTGCATATTATATTTCTACTTTGGGGAAGTATTGCCATATTGGTACCAAATATTAGAATTTATACACAAAGGGGGTGTTTGGGACAGTGATGTTGCATTCCTAATTAGAGTCCATGCAAGTGTCATATAGGTGTTCCAATTTCATGGTACCAAAATGGGTAAACAGATTTGAGATCAAACATTTGTTATTTTGTTATGTTAATGGAGATGTTGGGTGGGTGGGGGAGATTTTCACTTTGGTTGTCACACTCATGTGTTTAAAGTTAAACCTACCATGAAAGACTATGAATATATATATATATGTACCAAAACATCTTATCTTTCTGATTTCAAATGCTATAATTCAGATACAAATGTTGATACTTAAAAATCTACAGTGCTTAAACACCTACAAAGTAATCCAGAACCACCTTGCTTGCTAAGGCTGTGTTTGTTTGGAGTTTAAATCTCATCAATGTAAAACTTCACCGATAGAGTTTTACGTCAAACCGTTTGAAAAAAGGTAAACAATTAAAAGGTGAGCATTGAAAAATGTGTCTATTGATGTAAGTTTTATATCAATTTACGATGTAAACTAAATTGCCATCCAAACACCTATAAAACTGAACCGCTGATAATGTTTTACACTGCATCCAAATGCCGATAAAACCAAACTGATGGTGACAAAACCAAACCAACGATAACATTTTATATTGCAAACAAACACAACCTAAAAATAGTGAAAGAAAAGGGAAGAAAAGTTTGTATTTATGAGCAGAAAAATTCGGAGATCTTTTACTCAACGAGTCACTCAACAATCTGGAGGTTTTGAGTATGTACAAGGAGGAAGATATAGAAGTGGAATCGGACTGTCAAATTCTAGTGCAAGCTCTAAAGACGGGAAACTTAGACTTGGTCTCGGATGCAAACTTTCTATGCTTGGATATTAACTTACTGACTGAAGACCTAACAATTTCTTTTAATCATATAAATAGATCTTGTAGTATTGCTGCTCACATGCTAGCCAAGAAAGGTCTAGAAGAGTCTGGGTTGTTTGTCCAAGATCCACCTGGGTGGTTACAAAATCTGAGCAACTAAGACTTAATTAGACCTTAACTATATATTTTTTTTTTTTTGTATTTTGTGGTTATTTTTTTTTTAATGAATGAACTCATCTTGCTAGTTTTACCAAAAAAAAAAAAACGAGTCATTC